CTCTAATTCAGGCTGGTCTTCATCTCACTTTGTAGCCGAGGCTGGTCTTGAACTCACAACGATCCTCCTGCCTCAGCCTCCCGAGTGCTGAGATTACAGGCGTGCACCACCAGGCGGCTCTTTGCTCTTCTTTTCCCTCTCGAAAAGGTAGTTCTTGCCGCCTGCCCCTTACCAGGTTAACAATTCAATTCACAAGCGATAGGGAGCGATGGAAGACTTTTGAGCCAGAGAGAGACCCAGCTGTGATTAAAGTTGTTAGAAAGATGACTCTGGGAGAGGCAGAGGCAGAGGCAGAGGCAGAGGCAGGCAGCCTGGAGAAGTCTGGACCAGAGAGGGTGGGGCCCAGTGGTGGCACCAGTGACAAAAGGTGTCAGAGGCTTTTCCCCTTTGGTCCTCTAATGTTTGGGACCAGCCCCAAGTATCATGATCATTCCTTCATGACATCTTTTGCATTTGTAATCCATTTATGAGTATTTCCTGTGCGCCTGACACCTTCTGTATATTAACTCATTTAATCTTCCTAGGGACCTTAGGAACTGAGTATCATTACGATTCCCAGTTTGCAGAGAGGTTAGGACACCTGCCGAAGGTCTCCCAACAGGAAGCACACAGCAGAGCGGGCCAGCTCACAAGGTAGCCTTTGTTCTGGTACTGTGGGACTGACTTTCAAGCCAGGCTTATCAAGTGCAAAGCGCCACACTCCAACCTGCCCTAACCCGAGGGCAGCTTCTGCTTGCCCTCCTCTCCCCAGAACACCCTGCCTCACAGCTTCTCTCTAGAATCCTCTCTGCCTCTCAGGGCTGGCCTGTGGCCACCTCCTCTAGCCAGCCTGCTGTTTGCCCTAGTCGGGAATGAGCCTCTCCTTCCCCAGCCCTCTGTTTCTACTACTCCTTTGGCAGCCAGCATAGGCCTTGTGTTCTATTTGTCTTCTTTTGTTCTGACGTGTCAAACTGTAAATTCTTTCCCAGTACTTAGGAAGCTGACGCAGGAAGATTGCAAGTTTAAGGCAGCCTGGGCTACATAGCAAGACCTTGTCTCAAAAAACCTGTGAACTAGTAGATGCAAAAGAATTACTTGTTACCTTGTTCTGACTTGGCAGCCTGGGAAAATGTGAGTGAGTATGTGTGTGTGAGTGTGTGTGTGTTGGAGGAGTACATCTGTAGCTGGAGCCCCCATGCCTTCTCACATATCTTTGCCTCAGACTGAATCTGCAGGATGCTAAAAAGCAAGTTGTATATTTGGTCAATTCATCAAAATAAAATAGTGATTGAGTGCTTCCTTCCTTAAGCCAGCAGGCCAAAGCCACCAGAGACCAGGCCCAGGCCCAGAGTGGGTCCCAAGCTTTCAGGCTTTCATTTTCAAAATGAGCCCCGACTGACAAGCAGCTACTTCCGTTACTCTGGAAACTCCCCTGTACAACCCCAAATCTGTAAACATCAAACCACACACAGGCGCTCACACTTCCAGAATATGCAAACAGCTACAGCAAAAATGAAAAGAGAAGAAAAAGAAAGAAAAAATGAATCAAAATGCCAGCATGGAGAATGGAGGGTGGAGAGCTGCTTAGACTTAATTTTCCATGCCACTATCCAGGTAATTCCCTTCCTATCAGCAGCAATAATATCTCCAGTTCCAGTTCAAAGACTGCAAAGGCAGCCACCTGACCAGTGCCACAGCCCCATGACACACGTGTCCTTGCCTGACTCTGTTGCCACAGAGCAAAGCCACAGTGCCTCCCTAGCAACTCATTTCATCTTTACTTAGCATGTGCCTTCTACCTCAGGTGGCTGGCTGGATGCATGGGGTCCCAGAATCCCAGTGCCCATCTCTGTTTCGGTAGGGGGGGCCTCTGGTGTTTGATACCAGAGAGGTAGAAGGAGTGGAAGGCAGAGGGATAGTACCAACTCACTTATGACTCAGGTGCCGGTCACCCAAAGCATCTGCTACCTCTTGTTCTATTCATCCTTTGCAGCTCTGGGGATACAACCCAGGGCCTTGTGTGTGCTGGGCAATAGCTCTACCACTGAACCACACCCCCAGCCTTCATCTGCTACTCTCCTGCAAGATAACTGGCAAAACCCCTCAAATCCTTGGAAATGGCCTGCTAAATCGCTGGATGTAGAGCGGGTATTTGCATTGCAGATGGTAATACCTGGTGTTTTGTTCAAATAGGAGCCTCTCTAATGCCTTTATGGGTTTCTTTATAGATCCTGGAATCTTAGGATGACAGGGGAAAGACAAACTTAAAGTTGAAGTGTTAGATGTACATTGAAAATCAATCTCGAGAGAAAACAGCTCAGAAATCTTACTGGAAGTCAGTGGGGAATCATAATTGATCTGTAAAAATTATATGGAGCTTTCCCCCAAACACACCCCTTGAGTGAAGCCAAAGGCCTTCAGTGGAGTTTGCCAGTGGGGCTTTGATTCGGCAATCTCCACGAGGCAAGAGAACTTGGAACACGGAAAGCAAATCCCTCAGGTTTCCATAGTCCTTGGTCCTGAACGGAATGAGGCACATTCTTAAGATTCCAGGTATTGCTTGTGAGTTTCCTTTCCTCCAAAGACCTTTGCTCATCCTGTCTGATTCTCAGGGAGAGAGAAGCCCCTGGTGTGCGCACCAGATGTTTGAGCATGGTGTGTGTGTGTGTGTGTGTGTGTGTGTACACGGCCACACGTCACTGTCTCCGGGTGCCACTATGCCCTTTCAAAGTGTCAGGGCTTTGCTTCAGGTCTCATTTTGAATACCTTTTTCTTAGGTTACAGGACAAGTCATATTTAACAAATACTTTAAAAACTCTTGCCGACTTCTTTGGAACTACTGTCTTCCCCAGTCCTTCAGTAAAATCTGATGTACCCGTTAGAAAAAATTACCTTGACAGCTGAATAAGCTTGGAATAGTAAAGGTGGTGGTGCGACCAAGCTGACACATACGTGAGCCTTATGACCAGAGCTGTTCAAAATCACTGGGAGGCGGACAGGCAGCAGGAAATCTTTGGGCCTGAGTAGAAGCAGGGAACCTGCCTAAAGCACACAATGGAACGGCTTGACTGGAGCCTGGCGGTCAAACCTGGGCCCTGAAGTGTGACGAGAAAAACTTTCCATTACATAATATCGTATTGATACTGCTATTACAAAAATGCCACATCCTGGAAAAGTCCGAAGGTATTACCACGTGGAGACACACGAGGGCGCTCTAACCAAGTAGCCATTGAGAAAACGAGAAAGGCTGTGGAGGTTTGACCGAGGAGGAAAGAGGCCCCGCAGGCCCTTTGCTGACTTGAATTCAGGATTGTGCCTTTGACCATGCTGCTCACCTCTGTCCCTTAAGTAGCTACGAGGAAGATCACACCACCGCCAGGAGGTGTGGTGAGAAAGCCCGGATGTCATCTTGAAGAGAATGCAAACCATCCAGAGAGAGAAGGAGGCTAGTGAGTGGTAAAAATAGCTCCTTTATTTGAGAGGAGTTGGCTTCAGTTCTATGTAAGGCTTGGAATCATACTCCCAACGTGCTTTCTTGTTTATTTATTTATTTGTCAGTTTACTGAGACAGAGTCTCCTTATGTTACCCAGGCTGGTCTCCAACTCCTGGGCTCAAGCGATCCTCCCACCAGAGCCCCCGGCTGCCAAGGCTATGAGCTGGCAGCACTGTACCTGGCTCTTTCATGTTTTTAATGATCTCTTTTTGACCCAGGCCGCAAACCTGTGAGGTAGCTATGGAAGCCATTATTTCTACAGAAGCCAGTATTTATATCCAGTTCACACAAAGGGATGAGGGCGGCTGAGTGACCCACTCCAAGGCCACACGGCTCCAAAGCGATAGTCGGTAGGGTATTTGTGCTCATGTCTCTGTCATACTGCCTTGACAGGGATAGTTCTCAGCAAAA